TGGTTTCATCTTGAAGGCCAGCTTCGTAATCGGTCGGTGAAGCCATTCGGTCGGTGGCTATTCATAGCCGAACCTGAATTGAAGGTGTTTTCGGAAATAAGTGACCACTGTTATCCTCAGCCCCACGGTGGGCACCAAACTGTTTTTCCGAAAAATGGATAGAGTTGAATTTATACGCAGTTCCGAAGATATGTGGTACAACTTAACACAGAATGCTAGGATAAATAAAAGGGATGAATATAGGTTGGAAAAAACGTAATCCAGGCGAATCAATTATGAACAGTGAATTTAAGATTTTACGAAATAGAATCAATCTCAGAAACTAGAAAGATCACTCTTTTTCTTATAGAGAAAATAATACATTTTGTGATAGTCTATGGCCCCTGAAAAGGATGCCCTACAAGAATGATAAACAAGCCCTTTTATAGTGAAGGGGTTTGGCTACAAGTATAATAAAATAAACATTCAGTGGGAGACCCATGATAAATCAGGTTTTTCATAATTTCTGCCAAGATTCCCTCTAGTGGGATTACAACGGCTTTTGCCTGCGAGTTCGATCTTGCTTAGAATCCTCGATTTTGATTCGAGCTTGATTTCGGCTCGAACTCGTGATCTTGGTTCGAGCTCGATCCTGGTTCGAGCCCTCGGATGGATTCCAGGTGGATGTAGGTTGGTTTTTGGATTATCAGCACGATAGATCTACCCGCGCCATGGTTCGATTCTTGTTCGAGTTTGAATATGATATCGATCTCAACACGGACCGACCTCCCCGGACTCTAGGTTAGTTCGTGCCCCCCCTCGGAATCTTACTTCGATATACCACCATTCGAACCGTACCGGACATGCCAAGGCTGAAATCCATTCTGGCCCTATACAATGGCAAAATAATTTTTGTTAACCATTGTAGCTATTACGTGTCTTCCAGCCGCAAAATGTTGTCGTTATCATTCTCCTCCTTGGATTCTCTTCTTCATTCACGCCCTTCCTTGCTAGTCAACCTCTTACTAATCCTCACTCTTTTGTGTCAGTTTTCTGCTAATTTCTTGCATTGTAACTATTTCTGTAGAGTTCTCGTGATTGATTGATATTTAATCTTTTGGCCCGAAAAGTCTCAGTGCTGTACAAGTTGATCTTCATTCTCTAATGGGTTGTGCTAGAATATAGCAACGAAGTCAGTTCTTGCAGAGTTATACTGTACGTACACTTTTCTCCCCTTGATCCTCACTCGACTGTATCAGTTTTATATGGAAAGACTCTATGCGTCAACCCAAAAGGCACTTAAGCAATTGTAATGACCCACTATTTCAATTCAAACATTGCATCTCTAATGAACCAATGCAATTCAATCGTTGAAACGTTATCGTTCATTAGTTAAATTGTTACAACAGTTACATTTTCTATATTAGAAGAAAGGAAAATAGATGTTCAGTTGAAACATGAGGAAAAAGGCAAAAACATGACAAAAAAATAAATACATTTCCAAGCCTAGGAGAGGTGTCAGCACTCATTGGCCCTCTTTTATATATAAATATAAATTATTTCTAGATAACATATATTTTTAGTTGTTTCAAAAAATAATAGCTGAAGAAATTTTGGGAAACTGCGGACCCCCCTCCCACCTCCTTGTTTTGTATAGGTGCATAAATTAACAATTTGTGTTAGAGCACGTTGTCATAACCTAAAGCTAACACTTTAAATAGATCCTGAGTGCACCACATGGTATATATATGGCATGCACGCCGTAACGGTATAGTTATAAATGTGTGGATCGGGTTGAGTATTGCAACAGAGAAGATATATATAACATGATTATTCTTGGTTGTTTGTTCCGTATTCATGTTAGTATTGTGAATTTGAGCATAAATATTGTTCTGGAACCCTCTTATGTATGTTCTACTCCGGTTTTCATGTTGATCATTGATTCTCTATTCTGTTATTGTTTTTACTTATATTCATACATGTTTATAGTGAGCGCCTTGTTATAGCCTCGTCACTACTTTGTCGAGGTTAGACTCGGCACTTACAGCGTACATAGGGTCGATTGTACTCATACTACACTTCTACACTTCTTGTACAGATTCTGGTGTTGGTCCTGACGGTGTTTAGTGCAGGTTTGCTCGGGCTATAATTATCCAGAGACTTGAGGTAGAACTGCACGGTGTTCGCAGACCCTAAAGTCCCCTTCTTATCTTTATACTATTTATTTTATTCAGACAGTTGTATATTATTACGGACCTTGCTTATAGCACTTTTAGCAACTCATGTACTTGTGACACCAGATACTGAGATTAGACTAGATAGCGTGTTCGTAGTTTGTTATATATTTTGTAGTTCTACAGCTTTACCTTCTTATTTATTTGCTTTTAAAATTTGTTAAAATAAATAAATGTGTAGCTAATATTGGCTTTCCTAGCAAGTGGACCTTAGACGCCATCACGGGTCGTAGTTGAAATTTCGGGTCATGACAAAACCAAGTAAATATTTTGTTGTATTTCTAAGCATGCATTCTAATCCTAGATTTATCTATTGGAAGGTACTGATATATAACCTTTCAGAAGTGAAACTGATGATCCACAATCAGATTAGTGCCACCGATAAGGATTTCTCCAAGCAGGAGTGTTGATTATAACCTACAATATTTCCGTGAGAAAGGACGATTTAGCAAGCTATCAACGCGATAATATTATAAGATTTTGTAAGATAATAAAAAGTGAAGTTAAAGTTTTAATAATTATCTAGGACGATAGTATACTGCTATTTTATAGTTTAGTTAAGAGAATTATGGATGTCTAGTATATGCAACAAAATATATGCAATAATAAGAACGACAAAAATATTATCTGCTTTACTTTAATATTGGAATCAAAACAGTGTTTAACAGAAAGGGATAACACAAAAATTCCTAAAGAAGATAATACAAGCAAGCAAGCATTTCGTAATAAATCCTTTGTTAAAATAAATAATGCTTCTACTTTAGCGTCGAAATCATTCGACTATTAAGTTCACTAAGACAATTAAAGATACTTTAAAAAGATACATTTGCATGTATCAGCACTTGACAAATAAAAGAAAAAATTTGTTATTGATCCATTAGCCTTTTTTGAGAAAAACAGAATTGATGTTCAGGCAGCCTAAATATATTGTCTGCACATTTTGTATTACAAACCCAAACAGAGGAAAAACTAATATTCAACACTACGAAAAAAACTAAAAATCTGACTGGTTTTACTTTAGTTGTGCTTTTTGAACCGTCCTAATGTAGTACATTGAGATTGATGCAAACACATCACACGGCAGAAAGAGGAATAAAAAACTAATAAATCCTTGCAGCTAAATCTTTCAATTGCTTCTTCTCTAAGGTCCGCAGGAATTCTAAAATATACATGCGAGAGGAAATATTTCAATTAAGAAGACACAAATAACATAAATTAACCTACAAAAATATCCAAAAAAGCAAAATTTGACAACATAAAATACGTAATGCAAAAGGATAAAGAGTACTTACATCTCGTTGTCAAAGAGTGTTATATCCTTCTTCAAAATACATTGATTCTACCAAAATTTTGATTACTTTTAGTAGAGAATCGAAAAATATCAAGATGAAAGAAAGAGAAAAAATCAATAAAGGGAAAACACATATTAACAGAGAAAAAAAATTCTCACATGCAAGAAGAAAGAAAGACAGAAAAGCAAAATCAAAGAATGGGGAAGAGGAATTACCATAGATCAGAAGTTTGATGATAGAAAAATGCTTTTGGTCGTATCTGAAATTATTTCGCATCTTCTCCTTTGCGAATCTTTTTCATTGCGTTCATTTTTTTTAAATCTTAGTGGGTTTTAACTGAAGTGTTAATTTTTTCAAGTGAAGGAAATGGACATGGGAGAGCAGACTTCTCTTTCGTGAATGTGAGTGAGTAAGGAAAGAGAGAAGGATAGTTGAAAATGAGAAAGGAGTTTGGGAAAACTTGGAGTTAATAAGCGATTTTTTAAGGGTGGCGGAGGTTACTAAGCCTCGCAAATCTAATATATTGGCAGGGAATATATTAACCTCCACAAATTGACATAGATTGCGGAGGTTACAATAACTGTCAAAATTAAACCTCTGCAAAATTACCTTTATTTGTAGTGATGTTAGTCTTTCTCGTTTGTGAGATAAATAGAAGCCCTCACACAACTAGTGTAAGTTGTGTGAGGTACAAAATATTTAAAAAAAAAAAATCTGTTCTTTTTCTTGAATTTTTGCTTTCCGCTCTCATTTGGGCCTGAATTTTATTCCAAAAATGAACTTTTCAGTCGTTGACCCACAAATTGCAATTTGCTAAATATCCACTATAAATGTTAACAAATCAACTTGAGTTTAGCTAGTTGAGTAGACCCTCTAAAGGCATGGAAAGCAACATCTGCGATTTTAACGTCGCCATGACACCATCTACGTCGTCGCTGGCAATATATTCTAATATTGTTAATTGGGTCGGGCCAGCCCAATCACAGTCCGATTCGATCCGGTTCAGCCCGGTACGCTAGGGGGTGGGACGGGTTGGTAAAAATGGCGTGTGGTAGCCACTAAATAAGGTGGTATTTACTTTTTATCCACCAATTCTAATGTTGAGCAAAAATAGCCACTACTCTATTAAAATTAATATGAAAAGATATTTTTACCCTTTCTTTTATTTCTTTTATTCCCAAACCTTTCCTTTATACACTTCTCTCATTTAAGTTCAGAGCCAAAATTTCATAGGCAAAATTTCGCTCCCTCAATATCGTTCCTGCATGCAACTCTCTTCTCTCGATTGAAGTTCAGAGCCAAAATTTCATAAGCAAAATTCTGCTTTCTCAATATCGTTCATGCCCAGCCCACAACAATTCTCTGCGTATACTTTGTCCAACTTAATCTCTTCTTCTTTGTCATCTTCTCTGCATCGAACCAACGTACTAGTATGTTTTCGATTTTGCTTTTATGCATTTTTGTTTTTGTATATCTCTAATCGTGATCAATGCTGTGTTTGTCATCAAGTATGTGTGAAATGTTCAAAAAAAATGATTATACATTGATTCGCTGAGGAATAAGGTGCGGATTTTTGTGAGAAAATTATTGAGAACCTTTTGGTATTGAAATGTGTTTGTGGTTCAATCAATATATTGATTATGTAAGGACATTTCAGAAAAATAGTCCTAAGAATTTGTAAGCTAACTGTATTTAGGAATTTTAGTTAACTGTGCTTCTATTAAAGATGCATCTAATTAGGTCCTGAATTTTAGTTTTTTAGTTTAAATATTAAGGACATTTCAGAAAAATAGTCCTACAAATTTGTAAGCTAATTTTAGCTAATTGTGCTTCTATTAAAAATGCATCTAATTAGGTCCTGGATTTTAGTATTTTAGTTTAAATATTAAGGACATTTTAGAAAAATAGTCCTAAGAATTTGTAAGCTAATTTTAGTTAATTGTGCTTCTATTAAAGATGCATCTAATTAGGTCCT